TCGGAACTTAATTTCGTAAATTGTTCACCAATTCTACGAATTGCACTTTGTGATTTTGAAAGTGGCAGCGAAACTTTTCTTTTCATTTCATTTCGTTTTGTTTCGTTTCGTTTGGTTCGGCTCGGTTCGGCTGGGTGCCGTTTCGAATGTGATTGGAAATGCACGGTAACTGTGGCCAAGTTAAATTGGAATTGCATTGAAAGCAGGCCCAGCACATGCAGGTCATTTCCGCCTAATAGCAAGCTCCGCCCACTGTCGGGAGCTGCACTTTGCTCACAGCAGAAGGCGACAGAAACTTTGCCACTCTGGAAATGAGCAAGTCAGGCTGGGCGGATGGAAGAATAGATGGATTGTTGGATGGCCAGAACAGGCCGTACCAGGCAACAGGTTAGATTGGCACAATCTGCTCACCGCACGCCACGAGAAAGCCACCACGAAGCGGGTCAGAATTGTTGGTTGCCAACGAGTAAGAGAGTCAAAACTCTACCGAGCTGTTGTCCTGGCCATGGGTGACCAGAAAAAGACTAAGCAGAGAGACAGGAAACAGAGAGGAACAGGTACAGTACCAAAGAGGGAGAGGCAGAGAGGCAGAGAGACTGGGCGACACAAATTGCTTCAAACACCTTGGCAAGCAGCAGAAGATGGGAAAAATTGGAACTGAGTAGACAACTTAAAGCGCAAAAGGCAGGACAAGTAATATAAGATGTTCCAGGCAGCAGGAGGACACTGGGAGTGGGCCATGCTGATGGGTGAAGGGTGATGGGTGGCTAGGTGGCTGGTTAGTGGGTGGTGGACATTGCTTGTCTACTTAAAAGTTTTCAAAGCGCTGCTTATGGCACGTGCTGGCTGAAGAGCAGTGCGGAGTGGCAGGGAGATATAGAAAGGGAACGACGGAGAGATGGCGACGGGGCGAGGGGGCGAGGGGGCGATGGGGCATGTGGCAGCCATGAGCTTGGCAAGCAAGCAAAGCGTATTAAAACACAAAGCAGCATCATTAAATGTTAAAAGTTGCCTTTGGCAAAATAGAGAGAAAAACAGCGAGCGGCGAACAGTTGCAGCAAAACTACAAGTGCACTACAACCATCGGCAGAGGATGGAGGATGGAGAATGGAGGACAGGACACTGAAAGACAAAAAAGAACACGCAAGGACAATGATGCCCCAGTTCCGGCCCGCAGATGAAGGAGCAGGAAATTGCACAGGCATCAAGTGCATTACTCAGGTGATTTCCAGAAAGAACAAACAGACACCACAAAAGAAAGAATTTCCCAGCGCCCGCCACAAAGTCAGGCAGCAAACAATTTGTTAATAATTATAATTGAAAGTGTGCGCCACGGACGGAGAACAAACAAATGGAATGGAATGCCTGCGGGTCGGGCAAGCTCCCGTATCGCCAGGTATTCCCAGATACAGATCCATCCAGCCGCAGCTTCCTCTCCAACAAGGTGGCGGCGATTATTTTTGATAATACAAGCCGCAATCAGCAGGGGATTGCCTGGCCCAAATGCATTTTGGCCAACAGCCAGCATGCCGCATTGTCTTTATCTTTCGCTCAATTTTTTTGAAGGGCGACGAACACTTCCTTTCATTTAGCCGCCTTTCTGCCAGTCCTTCTCCCCGTGGCAGGGACGAACTTCGATCGAAAGTGCATCTCAAGGCCTTGCAATTAACTATTCCTCCGTTTGCGGACCTTGCCACTTCACTTTCATAATTCCAAAGTTTCTCCAGCGACAAATTGCGGACGAGGTGCACTTTGAGGAGCGGTGGAAACGAAAGCGTCCGCAAGCAGCGCCAGTCGACCACTGTGTAATCCGATTTCAGCCAGGTTAAGCTGTCTTTGTTCTTGCCCGCTAGCCCACTAGCCCACTAGCAGCAGGCCTTTACCACTCACCTTTTGCCACTCCACTGATGAAGAGCAGCCCAGAGTCGGACAGTAAAATCCGCGCTGTGGTAAGTGGATCTCAGGTGAGAGCTGGAAAGGATGGGGCAGGCGGCATGCAAGTGAGTGGAAATCAGACAGCGCGATGAGGGGGCTGCCATAAACGAAATGTGTTTGCCATTGAAATGAAATTTAATTTTCCCGCTTAGGTATTCATATTTTTGTGTACCTTCCCCTGCCCCCCACACACCCATTAAAAGGCACTAAAAATTGTTTCCCCGTTAATCATAAATTGGAAAATCAAATTTTTCCTCGGGCCGGAGTTCATTATTCTGCTGCTATGCGGCTACGATGCGATCCTGCTGCTGATGTAATTATGTTGACTGTGAAACAATTTTATGGCAGATTGAGTTTTATTAGCATGCAATGTGCGTCGAGAGGATAGCAGAGAAGTAAAGGCTTTCCCCGACACCCTGCCTAGGTGTACACTTAGAGCCTACACGAGTACACCCTTCGATATATATAAATCTTTGCCCTGAGCCAGAGGCAGAGGCTCAGCTGGCAGCACCTTTCAGTAGTTATCGCTGTCGTTGTCCTTATCAACGGCGTCAACAAAAATGTTTTGCAAAAGCATCTTACAAGTGCTGGGACACATGTAGAAACAAGTGCCCCAGAGTCGGTGTGTGTGTGTGTGTTTTGGATAACCTTTTGTCGGCATTATGATGAGTTTTGCTTTTACTTTTGCCAACGAGCCCAGCCCCCGATCCCAGCACGAGCTTGAGCCCAAAACAGGGACCCAGAGTCATAGTCAGAGCCAGAGACAGACCCAGACCCGGACTCAGGCTAAGGCTAAACTCGTAAATACCTTCATTATCGTTAAATCATGCTGAGAGAGAGAAAGAGATACCAGTCGGAGTCGGCAGCAGAAGCTGGAAGATAGAGAAAGAGAGAGCTCATGTCATGTCCTGTCCCTTGTCCCGTGTCCTGTTTCCTGTCCCGTGCCGTGCCGTGCCTTTTATTTGCCCTTTATTTTTGCCTCTCCGTTTCCATTTCCGATTCCTCTCCGGGCCGTGTGCCTGGTGTCTGTGCGGCTTTGGGAATGGCTCATGTGGAGTTTTAAATAGATTTAAATGTGCATTTAAATGAAATAAATGAGCAACATTTCACGACACTCACTCACTCTGCCGCCGACAACAAGACTCTTTGTTCTGGCCTTGCCTTTGCGGCAGCATTGGTTAAATTATATACATCAGCCCCACTCGGCAGTGGGCGTGTCCAGAACTTTGTGGCCGTGAATCATGCAGCAAGTATCTCTCTTTCCCTCTCGCTCTGTGTCTCTGGTCTAATGGTCAAAGTTGCGTGCTATTTTCATATTCACGCCTAATAAACTGCCAAATTAATACACAATCAGCCAAAAGGCAGAAGATTGCACTACAAGTTTAAACAAAACATTAAGAAGCCGCTGGATGGACATGTCCCGACTAACAGATACCACCAATCACCACTCGGTGGAAAAGTCTTTTACAAAGAGCGGAGATCTTGGCAGAAAATTTTGAATCAAATATGCCCTCAAAACAGAAAATACAGCAGAATAAATACCATAACGAAGTGGAAATGCCCTGCCATGGCCGTGGACGATGTGACCTGCAGATGGCAGAACGGAAAGCTCTTGGAGCCGAAAGTTACCAAATTACTCAGCCACCTGTCAACCGTTTCTCTTATTTATGATGGCAATGTGAATAAGGCCCAACTTTGATGCCATAAAAATGCAATTAGATGGAAATTTATGATAAATTTCTCAGCTGTTAATTACAAAATATTCATAAATTATCCACTCAATGCTCAAACGGAATTTCCAAAAAACACACCTCATTTATTATGACTTATACGATGCATTTGGTGTCTGTCCGTCCATCTGCGGCTCGGTGTGCTATTGGGGGGAAACAAATTTTAATTAAAACTCCAAGTTGGCAAACTTTTAACCTAAGAATTTCCATCCGAATATTCGCAACCAGTACCTGTTTTCGGCCCAGAAAGTGAAGTGCTTAGAACCCGAACTGGTTAAATTTAAAAATAATTGCCACTAAAGTGCAAACTACTAAAAGTTTTAAATGCGCAAAGTGTCGAAAAGTTCATACATCAGATAAACATGAATGCACAGTGAGTGTGTGTCTAAATTAGTTATGCATTCATTTTGTTTGATGAACTTTTCATAGGTTTTTGTGGCCGGTTGGTGTCAAATGAATTGGCATATGAGGCAAGTTTCCAGGGCTTGAGGTTGGCGCCTTTTGCATAGGAGATTTAATGTTCTTTGCTAGCTCCTGAATACTATTACTTTTGGTAGGTATGTGCCCCAGATCGGATCGGTACAGAACTTATTTCTTGCAACATCGAGCTGCTTGCAATCTGGACGCGTTCTGCCTCGGGGGTGCTCCTCTTTGGGGCCCTCATGGCCGAGCCGCAGCACAGGGGCATTATGCGTCTACTTGGGCATTATGCTCTATGACTGCAAAGGTATCTGGCCCTCTTTTAGCTGTGCTGTTTCCTTCGGTGTCGTGGACCTACCGGGCAAACATGGGCAAGGAGGAGGCGCCTGAAGAAGCAACTGTAAAGCCACCGCCACATAACGAAAAGGCGTGAGATTAGAAACAAAGCTACATTTGTTCATTCATTCGGTGGCAATATAATACTCGTATATTACATCCATTCTTCATGCTATTTCCAATAAACGAATCTACAGTTGTCCTAAGCAAATGAAACGCACTGTTATTCGAGTATGTATATAGATTTGGCTATTCATAGTCGGCTATTGAAGCTTTCGGATTTGCGAACAAAGAGCGGTTCTGAGACCTTATCGAATCTGAGATAAAAATGTGTGCACCTAAAAAATAATACACATAAATACATATATTTTGCTAAACAAAAATGTAAGTGCTTTGAGTTCAACATTAATGTGTGCTTGTCAATATATAACGATTAATTCTTCAAATCAGAAGAGATTTCTTTAAGTGTACAACGTCGACCCTTATCAGGAAAGCCGATTAGATTAGGATACAAATAACATCACTCAATGGTCGGCAAGCGTCAGTTAGTACTGAACCATTGAGGCGAGCGAGGGCAAAATCGACATGAGAGCCATATTCAATTCGCGATTTGTACAATTTACCATCGGTCTGATGGGAATCATTGTGTCCTCGGCGACAATGGGAATTCCCTACAATCGTAGGCGTTGACTGGATTGGAGCTGGCTGCCGCCCTTTACTGAAGAATCTCCCCCATTGCAGTTCAGACCAAGGTACTGGCCATTGTACGGGCCCTGGAGCTGACGGCCTCGGGATTACTCATCTTTGGGCTGCTGAAGAAGCGGGATCTGCACAAGTCGAAGATCATGATGGTCTGGTTGATCTGTACCCTATTGTTTGTCGCCGGCCTTTTCTACAACATGTTTGAGGGTTTCTGGATGTTCTACAGAATAGATGTCGCCACATCGATCATAGTTACCGCCTCGCTATTGGGTGCGGCAGGTGAGTCAGAGAGTCTGAGACGGCCGTCAGGGCACCCCCGTTCATACATATGATTGTACATTGCAGCTGTGCTGTCTGGCATGATGTACGTGGTGTACAGTGGCTACGAGAGACTGGTGGATGGCACTGACGAGCAGATACTTACAGCCTGAGTGGAAAAGTTGTGGAACCAGGTCCCTGCTCGAAGAAGTTACCCTGTGATGGAGGAGGATCGCTGCTGAATAGAAGCCCGACTAATTATAGTAAGAGCTTACTACGGACGGCGGCATCATCAGCAGCCGTAGTCCTTCCCTTATGTGAAATAATTTTAATTAAAAAATGCCGCTTTTCACATGTTTCCCCTGTTCCCTGTCCCCTGTTCCCAGTCCAACCGTTGCCACTTGTAAAGTTTCTGAAAAGTTTGTCAATTTGCATTCGGCTTCTCCCGGGGAAGTCCACGTTACATCTGTTTTCGCTGCATTTAATTAGGTTTATGCCAAAGGCAAAAGGGACAATTCCTGCTTGACGACAAAAATGATGCCTTTAAAAATTAATTTTCTGCATAAATTAGGCCTGAAAAAAGTTTAATTTGCAAATTAAAAATAAAACAGACCAACCAGAGGCTGGATTGACCCAATGCTCATCGGGTGTGACTTGTCTGGCTTTTCTCTATTCTCTGCCTGTCCATCGGCATCAATCGATTTCCGCTTAATATCAGGGAAAAGGATATGAAAGCGTTTTCCTTGGGCTTACGAGTAAATATGTCGAATCATTGCGGCAATTTCGAAGCGATTCAATTCGATTTGGTTCGCTTTGGCACGTATTTAGAGCTGGCCAAGGTCCAGGCATAAAAATTATATTAAATTGGCATTAAAATCATGGCCTGGTCATTGCCAATAACAACAGCAGTCATAGCCACAGCCACCGCCACAGCCACAGGCAGCAGGAACTTCAAATGGCCATTAAAATAATAACCAGACCAAGCCAGACAGAGTCCGGCAGAGTTTCGGTTAAGGTCAAACGGCGAGTGTACAATGTCTATGCCTGTGTGTGCCTTAATATGAGTCGCACGTGCCCCAAAGGACTCTCGCCCAACTCGACTCGGGCCCATGTGGCCTCTGCCACATACTTATGCAAATAATCTTGCCTCTTATGAGGCTAATAAGTGTCCAAAGTTTCGTTAAATGATCGAATTGTAGCTTCAGCTCAGCAGAACCTTAATGACTGCATATCATTTCCGGTCTCCGAGTCCTGAGGAACCACCGCTGTTCGCTGTCCACGGGGCGCCTGGCCATTAACTCATTAGCACACAGCCTGCCCATTGAATGCAGGAGACTTTGATGGCACAGCCACCGCCGGATAGTGGGATGGAGTTTCAATTACACGAACTTAAAGCTGTTGGGGCAGTTGAAAGGCTTCGGCACACTACCCGGGGGCCATAAATTATGCAGCCAAGTATCTGACAGCAGAACAGGGCAAAGCCAGAGCCGAAGCAGAAGCGAGGCAAACTAAACGCGATTATCTTAATTTATGCAGGGTCCGGTCTGGCGTAGGGGACGTACTATTACTTATGCGTATGCGGTGTTTTGTGCAGCCCTTGAAATAAATATAAATTGCAAAAACTGTCAAATCCAAGCAGCAAAAGTTCACGTCCGAGTACGAGTTGGAGTGGGAGTGGGAGTCGGAGTCAGAGTCCGGCCCTGGCCTGGCCTGGCCTGGCCGGGACTGGCCAAAAGGGAATGCAATGGGCCAAAGCCATTCCTGTTCTTGGCCATTCTTGCCGCGCTCCTTGTGTGTGTTTTGTACAATAAAGAAATTTTTATCGCTGCCGCATTTGACATTTGAAGTATGCGCTACAAAATTTATTGTTGCTCCGCTGTTACAATAAACAAGAGCAGCAAAAAAGGAGGAATACGTACAAACTCGTACATAAAAAAGCAAACCAATGGCGATTGCATATCCAGAGAATGCCGGGTGCTGGAACCCGATTGGAATTTCAATTTAATCTTGTATCTTTGGCCCAGTCGTTCGCCTTTGACAGGCAAAGACAACACACAGAGACCCACACCGACAGGCAAGATTTACCTGTTGAAGAATAGTTACCGAGGAGACGAGTAGAAGCTGCCAGCGTGAAGGATTGCTGGCGTAATTGTGTCGGCTGCTGGCCACTCTCTCGGTTATGACTGCCAGCAATCAGCTTATAAATATTCCACAGCTTGTGTCCAATAAAACGATTCAGCAAACACTTTCTCACAGAGAACAGACCACGAGTGAAGAAAGCAAGAGAAAAACTGCATGTCCTTGCCAGTCAGAGCAGACTCCTTATCACCAGCACGTGCCCGATGCAATGCCCGTTGCGGGTATACGGGTACGTACAATGACTAGCAGAAGCTACTGTTGCTTCAACGGATACCGTAGCTGCCGTAGCTGCCACCTGCTCGTGGCACCCGCAGCTGCTTGCAACGTGACGTCAATGCGAATGCGAATGCGAATGCGTTCCGATTGTTGCGTATACGCAATGCGAAAAAGTTGTCTCTTCTGCTGCTGCCTGCAGCTGTTCTGCATGACAATGGCCGCTGCGGTAAGTGTGACAATAAATCGCGCTGTCAGCCTACATTTATCTATACCGTAGCCATTTCCTGGGCGCGCACGAGTGAAAGTTTTGTTAGGCGCCGGAGGCACTCTATTACCTTGATTCACTCCTCTCTCCAGTCTCCTTTCCCGACGCTTTTTCTGCTGCTTTTGGGGTTCATTGTCTCTTTGACCAGACACCGAAAAAAGCGCGTGTGGGTGCAAATCCTTTTGTCTGTCTCTGTGTGTGTGTGTGTGTGTGTGGAGGTTTATACTCGCATTAAATTTGTATGCCTCGCGTGTGCTTCGCCTCAGCCGGGAGAAAATATAACATGTATAAGAGAGAAAGCTAACCAAAGGCAATAACAATGCACCCGCTTCACACCATTCCCTTTTGGCCATCTCTGGGGCATAATTTGCGTTTAATGAATTGTGCAGAAAGATTTTTATTCACTTAGCCGCTGACACACACTGAGAGAGACCCACCACAGGCAGGGACATATTCAATTGGGGGCCTGGAGCCGGGATACAGGGCCATAAGCCGCTTAGCGGCATTTTTGGTCTAGCAAAGTGAAATGCTGCACTGCGTAAGGCAAAGGCGCCTCCTTTGCTCCTGGCCTCCTCCTCTGCCTCAGACAGGATTACTTTTCGATCAATTATTTAGTCATTAGCGTTACAATAACCCAAGTCGGATGTGTGGGCGGATGGGGGCGAAATGTTTGATCGATGAATGTGGACAGGACATGGCAGAACTAACTAATTAAGATTAATTAGTGGAACGGAATTTTCAATTACGATTTCGGGGCTTAATAGCTCTCCAGCATAAAGCATAAGAGGCAAATTAAAGCCCACCACGAGGCAACTTAAAGCCACATCGACAGACAAAAGCATGAGGTAGATGAAGAGACATGTCAGTTCATCATTTCAAGTGCAACAACAGGAAGAATCCTTAACACCACATCAAGCCAAGATGATAGCCGTTGTGACAACAACACACGCCAAACTTTTCAAGATACAAAGACAAGAAGTGGAGCCCCCTACCCTCCCCTCCCCAGCACACCCAAAAACACAATGGAACACACACCAACAGCCTCGCACACACAAAAAAGTGAGGATGTAATTTACACGCTTTTCCAACCCAGCCCTCCATCAACGTCAGGCAATGCTTTTCCCGATATCGGACATCCTACCAGCCTAGGAGCCGTGGCCACGGCCACGGATACGCCTTTATCTGACGTCAAGTTGCGGATGTACGGAGAGTGCCCAAATGTGCGTGTGTCCCGCATTTAATGCGGTCTGCCTTGGCGATAAACTTTTGCAGCTGTCTCGGGCCCACTTCCACCTCCACCTCCACCTCCACTGGCCCCCCTCCAGACTCTTTTATTTGGCATTTTTTGGATTGCCGCCTTCCGTTTGGCTCAATCATTTTACGTCTCATAAAACATAAATAAAAATCGATTCGTGAAGGGGTCCCAGTAGCAGTCCCAGTCCCAGTCCCAGTCGGAGACCCATTCGGAGAAGTCTCAGACTGCGGCATTGTCATTGTTTCGTCGGCGACAATTTGAATTACCCGTAGCAGAGATAAAGGAAAAATTGAAGGCAGCCTAGTGAAGCTGGCATACACTTTCCATTTTCATGGATGGTACAGTAAGCTCAGAGCTATCCATAGCAAACAGATCTGGTCAGAATATATATAGATTTCCAGGAAATATTCGTGCAATGATTTTAGATGAAGTTTATCTGCCGCTGTGGAATGTTCTCTGCAGAACTCCGCTGGATTCCTGATCTGATACTCCTGGCGAATTTAGTTCTTGACACAGCCAATGGATCCTTCGCAAAGACATTGAAGCATGGTATATTTACTCGAACTTCTCCCTTAAGGTTGCCGTATGTTTCACGTTGTCTTCTCGTTGTTGCTGGTTGCTGGTTGCTCTCCAGGGCAACATTTGGCGGTTACTTGGCCCGCAGGCGGGCAAAGTCTATAATGCAGCATTATTTTATGTGGAGCCAAGCAATTTATTGAATTTTCTTCTACGGTTCGATTTTCTTGTCGGTTCGGCGGCAAATGTGTTGAAGTATTTTATGGGTCTTTTGGGTGAATATCAATAAATTTTTAATATGATAAAGTGAGTCAAATGATGATTGAAATCGAGCTTTGAGTTCGGGTTGCTTATCCAGATCAAGTTGGCTGTGGCACTCGGCCATTCTTCCTCTCCGTTTTGTCCATTTTTCAGCACTTTCAATGCACCCACATCCACAGCCACTCACACTCACACGCATACGGGTACAAATTGAATTCAGTTTTGCTTTACTTTGCCTGTGCCCTTTGTGCTCCACTCGGGAGTTCCTCTGTACGCTTTCTGCCATCTGCCATTTACCATTTGAATAGCTAGCAAAACAGATAAGAAAAATGCAATTTTCACTGCACACACACCGAGAAAGTGAGACATATGCAACAAAGAGAAATGGGAAAGTGATAGGGGGGCATTGGACTAAGCTGCTTAGCCACAGCTGAACCAAAGACATCGCCCAATTCAATTGACGTTTGCCAAATCAAATCAAGTCAAATCAATGCCAAATCACAGACAAATGCCACTAAAATTTTCTGATTTTTTTTATGCAAATTTAAGCGAAATATTTTCCCAGAGATCAGACACTGCCAGTGGGGGACGAGTGTGATGAGGGAACGTATCTGTCATACAAGTTTAATTGGCTGAAATTCTCCTTTATCTTCGTTGCTGCTCGCACACACACACACACACACACATCTGCATTTAATTACTACACCGTTGGCAATAATTTATAATACTAATTAAAATTTGGAGCACGCACACATACAAACAGAGACAAACACACGCATAAATAATCACTGTCGAATGCGCCTCGGGCATTGAAAATTTTCATTTGCATGCAGACAGGCATCTCACGCACACACACACACACACACCATAGATACTCTATATGAGTGTGTGTGTGTGAGTACAACCTTTATCAATCAAATGTTAATTAAGTTTCAACTCAGGCAACCGAACAAATGCCAAACCAACTAACAAACCAACTTTTTTCCGCTGCGTTGTGCGTGTAGCGTGGAGCGTGGAGCGAAGGAGGACCCCAACGACGACTCTCTTCTGTTCGCTTCTGTTAAAAAATTAAATTGGTATACTCTGGGGGAGCGGGGGGTTGTTTAGGGGGAAGCTATTCACAAGTTATTACGCATACGCCATGCCAGCCCCGCGTATAAAATGCAAAAGTAATGCGCTCATCAAATAAAATTACCCAGCTGATTCTCCATCCTGAAGAACTACACCCTGCCCTCCTTGTCCCCCACCCCCGGCCACGCAAAAAAGGGAAATATATGCGATAGCGGAAGCGGAAATGCTCTCTGGCAGCCAGCCTCTCGCTCACTGCCCCTTCATGATATTGTCTGCCTTGTTTGTAATGGTTTTTTGGTTAACATGCGCACAGATTGATGCGTGGCCAAATTGTACACAGCCGCAAATTGTGGCAATTTCGGTTACTGTCAACGCTGCACACACACACGCACGCAGAGACACAGACACACAGAGGGACACGGACTTGCCACAGCACACTTATACAGGGACAGAGGGGCATAAGCATGTGGCAAATGTGCAGGCAGCGGCACGTTTTTATGTTGCAGCACAGCAGGGGGCAAACGAGGGCTTGTTTGCATGCCACCAAGCGACAGACAAACCAAGAGCAAAAACCCGGAAAGCCGAGGATAGAAATCGTTGCGGTCGAAGTTGATGGCGGAGGCGGAGATGCAGGAGTGGGCTGCAGGAGCCAGTATACGAGTAAATTCCAGTCTGTGCATTTCTCTGCGAAAATTGTAGGAATGCATACATTTTTATGAAGTTTTAATAAAGAATTCTTTGTCGTCTTTGAGATTTTTAAATAATACACAAATATGTGGGTAACTTTTAGAAGAAGATTCTAGACGAAACTCTGAAGCTTCACTGACACCAGAGCTAACTAATGGTTTCCAGTGCGCTTTATGTAGTGTTACCCCAAAGCGAGAGCTCTCTCGAAGACGTGTCGCTCTTCGATTGGCTTTCATGAGGTTCAAGTGCTGACTGTTGCATTCCCCTTCGATGGTGTCACAGGGGGCGAATGCTTAACAAGACCTCGGCCAAGTCGCAACTGCGTAGCTGCAACTGCAATTTGATAAAGCGAAGTGACAAGCGCAGCTACGCGAAAGGACGTCCCACACGCTCTGACACCACCCCGCGCCACCGTCCCCCCGTCGCTGGCCTTCGGGCATTCAGAGATGACAGAAGTCAAAACGGAATGGGGACTGGCAAGGCCAGGTGGTTGGAAGTACATACGTCAAAGAAAGAAGAAAAAAAAAATAAAAAATCGCTTGGCATGTGCACTGCGCATCAGCATCAGCATCAACATCGGGACAGGACGTGAGAGTAACAGCAGCAGCAGTAATCCCCATTGATAACGCACGACATTGTCAGTTTTTCCCGAAAGAGTGCGTTATTTATTTGGACCCTTCACCGAGCAGCCGCTCAATGTCACCGGAAAGTGCAGATGGCTCCGCTTTGGCCCCGTAGCGAGCATAGACCTGGCCCCTACGATCCACCAGAAACTTGACAAAGTTCCACTCGATCTTTCCGCCCCGCAGGTTGCTGCGGTTTCGCGTGAGCAGTTTGTACAGCGGTGCGGCCCCAGGTCCATTCACCTCGATCTTGGCAAAGACATCACCAATATTCGCCTTCTCCTGACGCAGGTGGTCCATCATCTCTTGGCCATCCGAATGCGGCATCTGCTGGCCAAACTGATTGCAGGGAAAGTTGAGGATTCGCAGGCCCCGCTCCCCGTACTTCGCCAGCAGCTGAGTCAGGCCCGCATACTGTTGCCCCGTCAATCCACACTGGGAGGCGATGTTCACGATAACCAGCACATGTCCGGCAAAGTACCGAAGATCCACCCGCTGGTGAAACGTATCTAGCACCGTGTGCGAATGCACCGACTGCGCCCACTGCATCTCGAACAGCTGCACCGCCAGTCTGTGGTGAGTGGCGATTGTCGTCACGCAGGCAATGGCAGCCATTAGGCCATAGAAGACCACCTCTTTGCTCGGCATCTTTGGCTTCACTGTGGCAGAGCTCGGACCATCGGACCATTCGAGGAGAGGCCTCCAGGGCGAATCAATTCGACGAGCTGCATTTGGGCTAATTGTGCGTAAAGAAACTGCGGACAATCGGATTTAAATGCGCGACTCGGTCGGAACCGCTCTGCCCGCGCGCTTTTCCGCTGGGACAACGTTTCGGTTTCGGGCCATATGTCACAAAAAAAGGCATCTTAAATTGAATTTGGCCAAACCGAGCGAAAGTTGCATGCTCTGCTGACCCACGGAGCGAGTTGCACGTTAATTTAATTTTAAACTTTTTCTGGCAGTTTCCGTTTCTTTGGAAAAGAGAACACCAACACCCACCCACCCACACACACACACACACACATATTGGAGAAAAACAACAAAAAAGTTGAGCTATCGTAACGAAATAATTGAATTTTCATTTCCGTTTTATGTGTTTACTTCCGCTTCATGGCGGCGGCACCATTTGCCCTACAGCTGCCACCCCCCCTCCGCGGTCATGTGTATGTGGGTACGGCCTTCAGTGTCCTGGCAGATTTCGGCCTATTTGTATACAAAAGGCAGTCAATTTCTGGCAGCCTGAAGAAAGTTTTTAAGTCAATTGTCAAAAAGTTTTTAACATCTTTTCCCCTACTTCCCTACCTCCCTACCTGCTTGTTCTTCAGCTCTTATTTTTCCAGTTATACGAGTAGATGTTTCTTTTGACGTGGCCATAAATCAATGGCAGGCAAAAGGCGTTCAACTGAAATTGATTTCAAGTTCCAGCATGGCCGCGTTCGTCTACGTAGTACCGGAGACGGGGGCGTCACTCTATCCGGTAGTCGATTGCCAAACGTATGGATGTAGCGAAAACAGTCCGAAATGTATGTCGATTGAATACCATTGTTTAACTGCAAGAGTGAGTACTGCAGCTTAAGTTGGCATACACATACATACATACTGTACATCGGAGTACGAGTATATGAAGAAAAAAGTTCTCATATGACATTTGACTTTTTGGGGCTGCTCTGATGGAAAGAAACTGATTGATATGTAGCGAAATGGAGAAACATTTAAAAAAAACCATTCAGGAAGTTCACCGATATGGAAGCTGACCGATATAGAAGCACGAATGCAAAACAACACTTGATATGTCCTTTGCAACTTGGGGAAGAGGGAAAGGAAGAGATGAAAATACAAAAACTTTAGAACAGAATATGATATGCTGGTGAACCCGAGTAAGGGGATACAGAAATGTCACAGCTCTGCACAATTTGAAATCAATTTGAGCTCTGATTGACCTACGACAGCAATCCGTATTCATAACGAAACTAATTGGCACAAATATTGTACTGATTTATCCGTTGCACTGACTGCCGTACGAGTACTCGTAAAGTTTCATAAAATTGACGTACAGCTTGTCGTATACTTGATGCCACACAAAGACTGATTGGCATGCCACGCAATGCCAATAACCAATGCCAATGATTATGTTAAGCTAAACAGTCCCCCCACCCGCTGCCCGACCCATGCAATGTCTGCATATTATATGCACTTTGCATAAACTTAATAAACTTTGCCCCCAGTTACAGGTTATAAACCCCGCGCACTAAAAACTCGTGAAGATGGCAACCCATTAAAGGCGCTGAACCACAACTCGTTGTTTTATGGCTGCCACAGGCACTGACTGGGTCGACCCGCACGAGAATTGCCATCTGGTTTTGTCTAAGCGTCGGCAATCATTTTTTTCCTTTGTTGCCACATTTTTCACTATTAACACGAGCCGTAAAACGCGAACACCCCTACTTTTCGGGGGCACACATACTCCCCTTCGGGGGAAGCCACATTTTTACAACTACGAATATCAGGGTACGCAATCGCATATGTATTGGATGCTGCTCCTGAACCACCTGATGTTGTCGTCCTTTACTTGCTATCGCCTCGTGCCGGGCCCCCATCTGCTCGTGCATCTCCACTTGTCATTTGCCACTTGCCACTTGCCACTTGCGCATTTAATTAAGTTTCCGCCGCGCTGCACACGCTGAAAGAACGAAGGACGTTATTAATTAAATTCCTTTATACACAGGTTAAGCCAGAGACGACGCCTCCCAGGAGCGACTCCCTGGCTCCCTGCCACTTGTTGTGTGTCAACAATTGGAATATTAACGAGGCAGCTAATGAAAGTTTCCAAGGGGAGGCGTGGAGGGCTCTCAACCGACCCTAGTTCCCTCGAAACTCCAACAAATCGATTCGAAACATTTAATAAATGTTCGCAGTAAGTGATTTAGACCTGATGTTGGCCTAGATCAAAGCTCAATTCGGGTAAATCCAGAGCTAACGAACTTTGCCCACACTTGACCCACTGCATGTTTTTCTGAGCCAATTAGATGCCGTCTGCATGCAAATCCCCTCTCAGCCGCTGCACTGTGGATATGGGTTGGTCCTAATAAGCCAAGACAGGGCCCAAGCCCAGGCATACATCAAAGGCAGCTGAAGGAGTTCAGGCATTGGTTTAGGCATTCCCTCCCCGATACGAGTAATCGTGGGGCAGACACACAGTCAGACGGAGACGGAGAAGCAGACAGCTCCTTGGCATATGCAAAAGGGATATGTATATTAAATATTTAAGCCCCTTGTCGAACCAGCAAATCCAGTAAGGAGAAAATCGACTTATTCAATACACTCGCAAAATCAACTTGCTAAAAAAAGGGAGAGGAAAACAGTATGAGGGGGGCAAGATGCGAAAGGAAATGTGCAAATCCCCAATGCAGCATCAGCAGCTGCACAGCACATAGCAGTGGCCCCACAGGCTGCCCCAGCACAGATCCCGCCTCTGCCCCCTATAGCTGACCCCCCGAACACCACCCACTGCAATCGCTTGGCATTTACATTTAAGCTGATAAGCAAAAGTGCCCTCGCCCTCCCCCCTCACACACACCTGAGCGTTAAGTCGCCTTGAAGCCTGCCCCCCCATACGCGCCACACACACATTGGGGCGAAAGAATTGTTTGTTCAGAATGTCGCAAGTTTATGAAATCGCGTGAGCTGGCAGCAAGGAATTTACATTTGACGCACGCACTTTACATTATTAATGCCTCCAGCCGAAGGCGACAGAGGCCCAAGAAAAAGGCACCAATATCAAGGTCACGGGTCACGCAATCGAACGGACTATTGGTTACCCATTACCTGCCATATCTCTTAAGCAGGAACTTATCTTATCTCTGTGAAGAGTAGCCCAGCCCTCTTGGGCTGATGATTCTACAAACGCACAACAGATGTACCCGCTTCGCATCCTAATCAGAAATAGCTCCAGGCATTTGCACGAATGCAACGTGCCACCATCTTCTAGCATATGAAGGTTGGCAAGTATGAAAATTAGAAAGACGGTACTATTGGGGTACTATTAGTACGATTGTGTTTTCGGGTGCGTTGCTGCGTGGGTGCGAGTGTTTGGAAAATTCTTCAGCCATTTCGAAAGTGTATCGCATTTCCGTTTTTGGGTTTGCCTTTTTACGCTTCGCTGAGAATTTTCCAATTTTGAGATATGAGCTGCTAATATTTATTAATCAAGTAATAGCTACTCGCACACACACGCACACCAGCACACCAGCACACCAGCACACATCCACACATGACTACCCGCCTGTGAGCACTCGTACTCGTATTTGTGACCGTCGCTGTGTCTGCGTCTGTTTCTGCTTGTGTGTGCGTTTGAATTTTGCACGAAAAATTGATTGGAAATTTATAAGCTAAACTTTTTCCACTGTTTGCTTTTGTTTGCGGCTCACGAAACAAACTTTTTTGTTGCCGTTTTTTCTGTTTTTTGCTTTTTCTGCCATTTGCAGCACTTGAAAAGGTCCCCTCGCAGTGCCGTGTGTGCGTTCGCGTATGGAAAATTTGATCAGAAAAGAAAAAAGAATTTGAAAATCGGTATTTACGTTTTTCGACTCCCAGTAACCTTTTCCGGGCTCCCCAGCTGCCTGTCAAAACGCCGCTACGAGGCAGGAAGCAGTTCGAATCATTCCTATGTTCAACCTTGTGTCGAGCACATATCCCAGTCCCAAATAAAAATAAAAGTGAGTTAACCAAACAAAAATTTAAAAATTGAAAAAATCTGTGATAGTTTTGAGGAATATTTTGTGAAAAAACTGTCAAAATTTTGTCGTTACTTTTAATTAAAGTTGGTTTTTCTTTTCTTTTATTTGCAGAGCTGCCTTCAATCAATAACAACCTACCTGATCTTTGATAATGTCCAAGTTTAATGTTTTGGTGATCTTCTGGTGTAAGTATGGGGGTACCGCGGAAGTTGTTCATGAGCGAAACTAATATTGTGGGGTGGGTGTAGGTGCCGTGATGCTGATGCAGCCTTGGATGGGGCAGGGCCTGCGCATCAAGCGCTCGGATGTCCAGCTGAATGCTACAGCTGTGGCATCCACTTCTGGACCATTGATGGCAACTCAAGCAGGCAACGGCACAACTTCCGGAACCGCCAAAGCAATGACAACAGTCGCTAGCACGGCTAATCCTCCAACTGTGGTCAAATCATCCACTCGACAAGAGCCTGCCGTCGACAACGACAAAGCTGGCGCCATAGAAGGCCTTACAATCACCACCATAACACACAGATCCGAACCCAAAATCGTGGGGCCATCGACTGGACTGGTAGACTCTTTACTGTCCGAGCTGACTCGCCCCAAGCGCCGCATATCGCTGATGAATGACGCCCTAAAGCCTCGTTCGGCTAACCCTCGCCCCAAATACCGCCCCGCTGCGGCTGTGCTTTCTCTAGGTGACGCCGTTCCTCTGCTGCCGCCCTTTGCGTACTATAACAAGGTGGTCTCGCCGGATGGCAATTTCGAGATTAAGGACTTCGAGCTGGTGTCCCCCAACATGGTTACTGAGGACGTGCAGCAGGAACTCGACTCTGAACCGGAAATGATGGACCAGGACTTGGCCGGAGTTCTCCTCTTGAACGCCCCCGAAAGCAAACCACACCGCGGCCACATTATGACCCCGTCCAAGTACTATCCGGAGTACGAGTCCTCGAATGCTCTCCCGCTGATATTAGACTTGTTGCAACAACTGATGCAGCCCGACGCAATGTTGCAGACAGCCTTAAAGATGCACAACAGCCACATGAACTCACCTTTGTCTCAATTCCTCAACGGCGCCGTGGAGCTGTCGCTGCAGACCAATCGCGAAACTATCGACGAAGAGGATCCTTTGGACCCCGAGAGTGATGACCAACTGGACAAACCCAAGAACGGCAAACCCAACAAAATGGATAAGAAAAGCAAGAAGGACAACAAGAGCAAGCCTCTGGATGCCTCCAAGAAGGACGACCTCAAGACCAAGGAAGCTACTGCAATCGCACCCACCCGCAAGGAGGACGAAATCGTTATCTCCTGCCCCGTCCACCACGAGCATCATGCCAATCTCAACGGCAAAATAGTCGACCACGACGTGGTCATTGTCGAGCAGTGTCATGTTGTATAGGTACATCTCTAGGTCGAGGTATAGCGGTAGGACATTAGGTTTATAGGTAGCAAAGATTTCGATTTACGCCTGGGGTGCAACTAAATTGTTAGGTTTTTCATTTTTCCTTTAGTCTTTTTTTTTGGGGTTTTTTTTATTTAGTTTAGGAATTTTGTCAGTCAGTCAATTTATTGAAATATTTTTGAAGATTATTTTCGGTTTTTTGTATTAAAACTTTGAATGCCAACAAAGGTTATCGGATACGTGCGTAGAAAGGTAAAAGAAAGAAAAAAATAAAAGCAACGTACGCATTCATTCAAATTGAAAGAACTGATTATGGGGAAGGATATACAAGAATTATACAATTCATTCACTGGGATATACTTGGAAAATATCCAAATGCAACAACAATCCGTAGATCCATATGAAGTGGCACGTGGTAGGTGGAATCTTCGGAATCAGTTCTCCTCCAAGGTGTTCGCAAATGTTTGCAGCATACTTTCAGGCTGCTCCATTGAACTCAGGGTCGAGCGGGTAATAGAGCGAGAACTTGCATAATAAACCTTCAGGAATGCCATTATCATGGAGATTGGCAACTGTTACTTTCGAGCAAGTATCACACTTTACCAGCCCCCTTCCTGCTGGCCCGACTCTTCTATTTTTCCTTGAAGTTTTCCTTCGTTTTCATTAACAAAATCGATTTGCTTTTGGCCCCGTCTACCTTGAAATGTCCCAGAGGAGAGCGAGTGCTCTGGCGTTGGAGCTGGAGTTTGGGGCCACGTTGCCAAGGCGAAATTGATATGCCGAGTGCGACAGTGCAGTCATATAAGGAAACAAATCTAACAAACACGCACACACCCATGGATATCCAGTGGTCGTAGCGGTAGTAGTAGGTTTCGGAGTAATTGGATCCAAAAGGCAAAAGTTTTGCCGGCTGCTGCTGCTGCTGCTGATGTCGATGCTAAATGCTGCTAATTTCATATACAATAAAACTAATGTAAATTGCCACTTGACGTACGCTGTGCGTGTCTCGTGTGTGTGTGTGTGTGCATGTGTCACAAACACATAGACATTAAATGGGGCACATAATGTGTTGAAAGTCGAAAGAGCATTGAAAGACAAACCAAACGACAGAGCGGGTGTCATGGGGGCTTGGCCAACAACATAAATACAAATTTGCTTCACAAATCTATGTATACAATCTGTGTATATAAACTGCATTAGATTCTCGTATGTGTGTGTGTGTGTGTGTGTGTGTGTGGCAAGTAGAAAAGTGCAACACAGCATTCGGAAAATTGCGTAGCTGCAGCTTCTATCCCTGGGGTGTTAAGTGGAGTGTAAATGTGAATGTATGTGCCACTCTCTGGGGCAAGTGACCCCTCTCATTTCCTCTCCCCCGCCCCATTCACATGAGCAGCAGAACAGCAGGGGAACAGCACATATATATTTATTTAAAAGTGTAAATAATAAATGCTCGTGACAGCTATTGGGGCAGAGCACTTCGACTCTTTATGCCACGGCCCTGCCAGCACTGAAAGTGCATTAACTTTTGCCATACTTTCGCAGGAAGTTTCGCAGTGGCCCCCAGAGGCGTCTCAATAATTGGTTTAAATTCAGGCAATATAAATAAACACATTCTGAGAAAGCCCTTCAAGTCGGCATTCAAGACACTTGAACAGACCGAGACCAAGACCAAGACCGAGACCACGACCACTTCTGCTAATCTCTTTTTCCTTTTAAAATTTATGACTTCATTATGGGGACAACAAAGACGAGACGTTGCCAGGAGATTGCCAGTCAGTCACTGAGTCTCTCTGCCACTCTGTCGTTGTTGTTTGTTGTTTGTTGGTTTTACGTTATGGTTGTCATTTGGCAGCTTGTAATTATGCTTGCCACAAGTTGTTGCCAAAAGTTGTAATCTAGATTTCATAGTCAAAGGGCAGCAACAACATCAAGTTCAATTGAACTGTTGAGTCAGCAAACGTCAAGAGATGGAGATGGAGGATTGCTGGCAGCATGGCTTTAAGAAGCCATTAAATTCACGTCTGAAGTGATAGACATGCGGCGGAAATTCTTGCTAAATAGCAAAGAAATAAACTCAGGACTATAAATTCGGAATCCTTTTTTATCGGTTAAAGGAAATCAAGTTCTGATAGCTGCTTTGACGATATATATGAGGTTACACCTTCTAAAATTCCATACGACTCATATTTTACCAGGCTTGTAAGGACTCTAGCGTATGTTGTTCCTGCCCTTCTATAGATTGATTGTATCCATGGCAGTTTTTTCGCTGAATTGCCCTTTCGCGGCTATCGTGCATGGAATATGCGTCATGTGACAATAGCATTATGCAAATTCCAGTGTCACCTTCGATTGCATGCCACACACACAAACACACAGGGAGAGAGAGAGAGAGAGAGAGAGAAAGACATCGCAAAGTGAAGGGATAAGCTCGAAGAGCTACAGAAACAACGTTGATTATTTTGCATCCCAAAGTGGCGATGAAAAGTCGCTGAAAATGGGGAAAATCAATGAGCAGATCACACTTTAAAGTTCTATACAAAATGGAAGAAGGTTCCTGTTAAGGAGGCATCGATGCATAGTGGCAATTGATGGTGCATTGATGCGGTGGTGGGGGGTAAGTGCCCCTCACTGTGTGCGCCTGAGTGGCAAATAATTGAGTCATTGCAATTTGTTTTTGCTCTAGTTGTTGACTCGTTTCCAAAGTCAAATTTATTTCAAGTAGAACCGCAAAAGACAGGGTTAGAGAAGAATGAATAGCCTGAGAATGCCTCCATGTGGCGTGCAAGTTTTACAAGTGAAAACTTTGCTGTCAGAGATACTTTATGTGCAAATTTTTGGTTTGCCTAGATACGCACACGCACACATGTTCGAATGCGAATGCGAATGCGAATGCGAGTGTAGATGTAGATACACTCCCTAACATGGTCAGCAATTTTGCTTGTTGCCGTTGTCAGCTGGCAAGTCATTTGCATGCATACCCAAACACACACACACACACACACGTCACGCATCACACAATACAAACCACACCCGAAAGTAGCAGGAGGAACAGAGGAGCGGAGCAGTGGCAGTGGCAGTGCCAAGGCGGAACAAATACCAGCGTGCCATCATGCATGCATGACAAACAAAACAAAAATACAAACCGAAAACACGAACAGCAAAAAACTCGCTTCTACTTGAAACAAGAAGCCACAGAAACATCTATAGAAACTGAAGCTACAGCCAGGATTCGAAACAGCAACAACTACAAATTGGCCCGAAAAACCAGTTGGCATATAAATCACATTGTAGAGGACAAATTGAAAGATGTTGCTGCGGGCCGAGCAGAATACAGTTCTGGCACTATGGCAAGTAGGACTACTACCTCCCCCATATTATCACCCCTTCGATAGAACATTGACACATTTTTCAGGCATACTTTCGGGGCCTGGAAGCCAGATACATTGGGAAACAACAATTAAATGTCAAGTCTGCTGTTTAATTTAATCCAAATGCAAAGGCCATTTGTTGGGAGAATCTGAGTCTGAGCTCCAGTGCCTCCAGTGACCTGCCTCGTAGTCTCTGTGGAAATTGAATTTTCTCAGAGCAATCGCAAGCCACAGTAACCAGTGCCTATAAACATCTGAATGTGTAGAATAATTTACAGAGCATAACTAAATGCAGACACAAGGAATCATACGTAATGACCATGTGGATATCCCTAACAAGCTCCATTGAGGAAAACCCTCACGATTTGCATGCATAAACAAAGATTATCAGCGGGCAAGAGAGAGAGAGAGAGCCAGGTCCTAAGCATTATTTACTGTACCATGAAGAACTAATACAACGACGACAATAATACCATTGGCTGGATTACTGTGCAGGCCAACCGCACAGCACCCACTCCCACTCGCAGTCCTTGGCCAGAACCCAGCACAAGCATTGAGTTGACTCAATGGCAGGACATTTAAATGGGAATTTGTCGTCCAGCTAGAGATAAGCAGAGTTCCTGTGTCTCTCCATCTGTATGCCTGGATGTGACTGTTTATTGTTTATTGGGGGCGATTATTATTAATAAACGCACAATGAGAACTTAACACTTGGCCCCTTAATGAGTTTTCATTGGAACGTCAGAGGTGTTTCTCCCAGATTAATATTCTGCTATATGAAGGAGCCTGCTTTTGTCTGGCCGTGATCGCTGGTGGCCTTGGTGGTTACGGAACCACCTCTCTGCAGACATCAAATGTTGATAAACTCAATAAAGAAATATGTCAAGTGGTTGGCTGGAAAATGCTTAAGCTGCCACGTAACCTACTCTGCCACTGGCATCACTCTCTCACTCAACTTGGCTGTGACCGCACATCAGTTTGTGGACTTCCGACAGGTCCGGGACTTGGCTCGTAACTTTCTCACCATTTTTTTCCCCCCATTTTGGCGCTCGCTAAGTGCATTTTAATTTGTCTTTCATGAAGATGCCAGGCAACGTCTGCTTCGCTCTCTCTTCTCCACGCCACCTGCTGTTTTCTCTGCCTTGGCCATATTCTTCATCCTTTTTTCTTGGTCAGTGCAGCAAATTACAACAAATTAAATTTGCCCCAACTTGCTCCTTGCGAGGCTCCGGGTCCCACTACGGGACAGGTGATTATGCATATTTTAAATGGTCAACTTCCATCATCTGCTCTCTTCCGCTTTTCCTCTCCTCTCTGTCTCCTCTCTCCACCCCCCCCCCCCCCCCCCCCCCCCCCCCCCCCCCCCCCCCCCCCCCCCCCCCCCCCCCCCCCCCCGTCAAATGCAGTTCATGTCAAAGTTATTTTCATAGCCAATGAAATGGGAGAAATGGCAGAGAACCGATGAAAATCACATTGTAGAGGACAAATTGAAAGATGTTGCTGCGGGCCGAGCAGAATACAGTTCTGGCACTATGGCAAGTAGGACTACTACCTCCCCCATATTATCACCCCTTCGATAGAACATTGACACATTTTTCAGGCATACTTTCGGGGCCTGGAAGCCAGATACATTGGGAAACAACAATTAAATGTCAAGTCTGCTGTTTAATTTAATCCAAATGCAAAGGCCATTTGTTGGGAGAATCTGAGTCTGAGCTCCAGTGCCTCCAGTGACCTGCCTCGTAGTCTCTGTGGAAATTGAATTTTCTCAGAGCAATCGCAAGCCACAGTAACCAGTGCCTATAAACATCTGAATGTGTAGAATAATTTACAGAGCATAACTAAATGCAGACACAAGGAATCATACGTAATGACCATGTGGATATCCCTAACAAGCTCCATTGAGGAAAACCCTCACGATTTGCATGC